CATCCAGACCACGACTGGTCACGTATAACGTCTTGAGCTCCTCGTACGCCATAAACTGGAGGGCGCCGTGACTTACGTTGAGTATGCCGGGCACGTACCCCCTGTACAGACCCGGCACACCCTCCGTACGGTATATCCGCCGCATCACAGCTACCATTCCGCTGTATGCTTGCTTAGAGTTAGCTGTGAGGGCTTCCAGTTGACTACCGGTGCCGTACTGGAGGCACATCTGAGTCTTGACAACCCAAATGGGATTTGTTAAGGAAGTGGTGATAACGCCGGCGATAGCGGCGGCCATCATATGCCTACCGGCGCCCAAATTCACAGTCTGGTTGCCACTCATACGTGACTTAATCGAGTTGTAAAAGAGGAAATACAGGCCCCACGAGGCACCCGACCCCACGCAGTTAGGTGTGACCCCTCTGTACAGCCCCGACAGGCCCTCGTGTCTGACAGTAGTGGTGACCGTATTGACCAAACCGTTATACTTGGGTCGCACGGCTACCTGTCCATCGTTCACAGCCATACGTATCTTCACTAAATCAAACGGGTGTAGGACTAGTGTGGGAACGACACCTCCCATGACACCGGCCACCAGGTGCTCGTACCGCACGTGCGATAACCACTTCACCGGACGTTTCACCGGCGCTGAGATAATGTCGGCGCTTGTATTGGCACTCATTATCACTGTTTTGCTAATAAATTTTAACTTGATAACAAATTAATAACTTTTTGTTTTTTAATGTATAGCCCAATAAATGCTGAATTTTTATTCACAACACATTTGTTTTGAAAACATTTTCTCATGTAATTAATTATAGCGTCAATTACCATTACTTTGTACTTAAATAGTGTACTTCATTGAGATATACCGGTATATTCTGTGACTGTAGTTATTAATGGTGTTTACAGTTAGTCCATTGAAGGACGTTACCAAGGTTATTGTCAATTATGTACGGAATATTTCAGTCCAATGCAGTTATTCGCGCAAATTCTTATCATATTTGAAAACTGTTTAATGTAATGTAAAAACAATATTTTCAATACAAATCAATACTTTATATAAATGAATCAAATATTTATTGATTGATCAAACAATTTGTGATCATTTATGGGCAATAAGTCTCAGCGTTTTGTAATATAGGACCACTTGAGTAATGGCATCATTGGTCAGGAATTCCTTCCAGGCGTTAGGGTTAGGCTCATCCCTACCCGGGTTAACGTAGGCGTCAAATACAATGTCAGACATGTGTTTGCATTGGGCCTCAAACTGGTCACCACTCGCGAAGAATGGTCTGAAGTCATAGACTAATAATTGTAGGAAATCTAAACAAAAATAAATAATAAAATAATTAAAACTTCATTGAAATTCTGGACATCAATACAAATGCAGACATAGTTTTCATACAAACCTATGATCTCTTGACGGCTTAGGTGACAGTCATCGTCCACGATCTCAAACTCTTGAGCAGTCAATCCATTTGCTTCCAAAGCCTCTTTCCATTGTTGTATCTGTTGATCAACTGAGAGATAATAGTCTTTGCGGTCATCAGGAGATAGTTTTTTATTAAGATCCAGGAGTATTATAATATTGGCGTGAATTGAGCCCTCAGTGGACAACAATCGCGAGAATATATTCAGAAGTTTTGTCTTATTTTGGATGTAATGTAAGGCAAAGTTTGTGAATATGAGCGACACTTTAAACTCCAGTAGTCGGATGTCTGGGTTGAGCTCATCCCACGAGACACTCATGTCTTGTGTTCGGTACTCAATGGTGTCTCCGCTGTTGACCCGTTGAGCATAGGCTGTCATCTCGGGGTCCAAATCGATGGCCACAATGCGGTTGTGTCTGACATTAGTGGCCAACAGTTTGGTGACCCCTCCATCACCCGCACCGATGTCTACGATTGTGTCGTATAGTCTAGCAATTAATTTACACAAAATTACTTTTATTAATTTTTGTAGTCATGTTTTAATAATTACTTTATTCAAACATAAAAATGTAGGAATGGATGGGAAAGGGATCAATGAAATGATTACTTACTTATTCTGTTTGTTAAGTCTCTTGAAGGTCTGGAGTGCGAACTGTTTGGGCGCATAGTTTAGGGAACCATAGGTTTCGGGACTGATTTGATCCCACATTTTGATTATTAATAATGAATTCACAACAATAATTACAAACAAGTTTTTGTGTAAAAGATTTTATATTAAAATAATAAATATTTCAACAAATTACTCCATGTTAAATACACACAATAATGTTATAGAATACACCTGTTGTTGCATACAGAATATAAATGCAATAATAATTGTTATTAGACTGTATAGAGAATGTCACAGATGTTGTGGTGATTAATGTGACCCTGGTGCTGATAACATTTCCCACAGCAATTGATGAATAATGAAAAATANTGATCTAAACTGATCCCATCCCACACTCAAGTCTTGCAACTCGTACTCAATAGAGTGAACGCTATTATTGTGTTTGGAGTGGGATATCATAATGGGATCCACATCTAAGGCCACAATCCGTTTATGTTTGACATAAGTGGACAAGACTTTGGTTAGACTTCCATCTCCTGGTCCCAGATCTACAACCAGATCATATGATCTATAAAATAGTAATTAAAATATCTATGTATAGCATTCAGTTGTATGAATATATTAAATAATTACAAAATACTCACTTATTTTCATTACGAAGTCTCGTGAATGTCTTAATTGCAAACTCTTTGGGCAAATAATTCATGTGTTCATAGATTTCTGGCTTCAAATCCATGTCTATTGTAAAGTTGACTTAAAATCTTCTTAAATAAACATTAAGTCTTAACTAATTTAATGAAACTAGAAATTACTGGCTATAAATACTGTTCTTATAAGTGATATGATCAGGCAATTTGTGGTGTTTCCTAGGGGTGGGTTATCATTTCTGAAGGCTATTAAGGACTGTACACTTAATTTACACTCAAATGACCTCTAATCACTATTATATCAATTAATATCAGCATTTACTAAAAATTATCTTTTTATCAACATCTTGTATTTTTACGTTGCATTTACTTTATACCTAGATACTGTATGACTTTATTGAAAAATTAACACCATTTTTTACATACTGCAAGGTATTTTGTATTATCTAATAATAATTTTATTATTTAATTAATAAGAACTAAGTATAGTATAAAATTCATCCATTTGATCAGATATTGTATGAATTTGATTCACATTTTGTTTAACTATTAATTAATAATAATTTTTAAGCGTTTATTTAACGGCAATAAAACTCATGACTTTCACATGAATAGTAACTTTAGTGATGCTTTCATTGGCGAGGAATTCCTTCCATGCGTTAGGGTTTGGCTGATCCGCACCGGGATTTATAAGCGCGTCAAACACGGCATCAGTTAGTCGTTTGCCATCAAATGGTTGGCCCGCTTTGATGAATGTCTTGTAAAAGCCGACGGGAACCGGAATAAAGTCTTTTCAAAAAAGCTTTTTCAATTAATACAAATTGCTAAACATTTTAAAGATTTTTAATACAAACTTATTATCTCCTGACGACTCATATGCCAAACCGCGTCCACAACACTAAACTCCTTAATCTTTAATCCATTGTCAACTATACTCTCCCTCCAGATGTCTATCTGTTGATCAACTGATAGGTACTCAGGTTTTCGGTCATCTATGGGTAACTTTTTGTTCAAATCAGAGATGACTATAAAATTTGCGTGAATTATGCCGTTTGGAGCCAATAGTCTGGATATAACTTCCAGTAATTGCCTCTTATTTGGTATGAAATGTAGTGTAAAGTTAGAGAATATGAGCTCTACTTTGCCCTCCAGTTGTCGCTTAAGATCTGATCTAAACTGATCCCATTCTACACCCAAGTCTTGTATCTCATATTCTACGGTTTTGACCTTGTTAATTTGTTTGCAATGAGATATACAACCAGGATCAATATCTAAGGCCACAATGCGTTTATGGTTGACATAAGTTGACAGCACTTTGGTTAGCCCTCCATCACCAGGTCCCAGGTCTACAACCAGACCGTATGATCTGTAAAGTAATAATTAAAATAATTCATTCAATATATTAATATAATATATGAATAAATTATATATGTGAAATATATAAAATATATGAATAAAAACTTACTTATTCTCATTACGAAGTCTCGTGAATGTCTTAATTGCAAACTCTTTGGGCAAATAATTGAGATTTTGATAGATTTCTGGCTTCAACTCCATGTCTATTATAAAACAATTTGCAAATCTTTTTAAATAAATATAATTAGAATTTTATATAAAATATTATTTAGAAAATCTACTCATATTTCTCAATAAACTTGAAAACTCAAAACGGGGTTTAAATACTGTTTTATGTCATATGCAAACTTGTGGTGATCTCTAATCATATACCAAAAGGTGAATAATCTTATTGAAAGCTATTTAAGATTATTTGATTTTTATATTTATATGACCTTTAAATTTTGTAACTTTAATTAACTAGCTTTAAGTATTCTATCAACTAGACCAGTTATTATATACAGTTGAGATTATCATAAATGTACTAGATACGTATTGTACTTAAGTGCTGTAAAATATTGAATCAGTTTATTATCACTCTATTTATGTAGTATGAATGACAGATAAATAAATGTTTAATTTATATGGTAAATTAAATATCTAAAAATTATGTATTAATATCAAAAATAAATGGTAAGAATATTGTATAGCAGGCTTTTGTAATACTGTACCTAAGCATGTGAACAGTTAATGAAAAATTATACAAAGTTCAATTCATGGCAAAAACATTTTTATAATATATAAAAACTATTAAAATATACAAAAAATGACTTTTAATTCATATTGAGATTTATATATCACTTCATAAATGCATCACTTTTTAAGTAAAAAATTAATTGAGTGCTCGTATACGACAAACGTGAGCGCACAGGCCGGGGTCACTTTAATCAGATTGGGTAACAGTCCCTTGTAATAGCCTCGGAGGCCCTCAAACCTCCAGGTCCTCCTAATCACGTCGATGAGGCCGTCATAGCGATTGTGTTGGTCCTGTAGGCGAGCCCTTAGGAGTTGCTGCGGGTATGTAATGGTGACGGCAAACAGTTTGC